TATATTTCCTAATAATGCGCAATATGATTGTGTCTTCATGTCAGTTAGTGTTATCGTTATGGTTATGGTTATGATAATAGCAGGAGTAAGATAATATAGACTTACCTCCTGATAATATATATATATTATATATCTAGCTATTATCAGGAGTTAATAAAGCAACATTGTGTTTTCTGACACTATTATATCAATTACTTATTTTCCAAACGGATGTATATTGTAAACGTATATTATTTTATGGCTACATTTATCTTTCTATTACTGCGCATCACGCGTATAGGTACAGCCGCATGTATAAAACAAGGTCACGCATTGTAAAGACTTTCGTACTTGACTTATGGTAGGTTTGAAATTACTGCTCCGGTCAGGGTCGAGGGTAGATTAATACTCACCCTATACCTTTCATAAAATATTTTCACGCATTCCCAAGGCTAGCGTTATAGCAAATCGTATATTTGAATTCCATAATGTTCTCGATTGCCTGCAATAATTAGCATTTCAATCTGCAGTATGAACTCTGGGAGCCAACGGGGAGTTTAAATATCAACCTTGTGCCGTGTGTAAGGTTTCTGTCCGCTAGCTAACCATTCGTGTACGTCCGCTTTCTGTCTCCTTGTTGCATTTTCTTGCCGCTAGGGAGCGCACAGTCGACCCGCCATGCAAGAGATTTTTCTGAGCTATCGAACTTGGAGTCCGCGAGTTCGAAACAAGAGGTATAATACAACATGGCGATAACATGAGTGCGTGTGGTACCTGCTGTGGATCATGTCTTGAATAATGTGTTGGAATAGCGTTAACCGCTCGCTAACGGCTGACATCACAACGAGGCGTGAGGATGGGAACGAATACTTCGTAGCCGGTTGACAGAAAGAATCACGTCTGGTTGGAACGTCTCCTCGGTGAAACTCACACCATACCCGTTTGATCGCTTGTAGGAATCTCCCAGTTGTTCCACGTTGTTGTAGCAGCCCCTTTTTTGTTACTGTTTCTCAGGCCTACGATAGGTCTTGTCCGGTCAGCGAAATGACCACCTCAGATGCGTCAGAATACAGATCTTTCATAATGTCAAATGCAGATTGATACGATCCTACTGTGAGAACTCGCTTACCTGTTCGATGAAAATAAGTTGCCTATTAAATTCTTATAATCAATTTTATGACGAAATACAATTTGGTTGAGGGTTGCTTACTTTTTATCAAGTTTTTAGTAGGTGTGTGTGTGTGGCTCTCTCTCTCTCTCTTCTCCTCTCTCTCTCCTCTCTCTCTTT